AGTGAGACGGGAACAGGGGAGCAAGGTAAGCAGGGGTGTACTTGCGCTTGCTGACTAATCTGTAGTGGAGATGTGGTGAGACCCACGTGCAACTGTTCACTTCAGATGGGTCATTGAGCACAAGTATGTCCCTGCTTACCATGCTTCCTGGGTGCTCCACCCCTGCTCCTGACCCTCTCTCTGCTCCAGGAAGCCAGCCTCTCCGTCTCTCCCCGCCACGTCTGCAAGGCCCAGCATCACCTCTGCTTCCAGTTCAAATGGGCGGTTCTCAGCCAGGCCGCAGTCACTTGGACACCTTAATGTCTGCCCTCTGTGATCTCTGAGTCTCACAGCCCCTCCTCCAGGGGGGCCGGCTTGGGCTGACCCCAACATGGACAGACTCCCCAGAAGCACCCTACCTGGGCCAGAGGCTTCAAGGCCCAGCTGCTCTCTCCTGGGGCCGTCCGCATTCGTCCAGCCCAGCTCTCCCACTGTCCTGTATGCCATTCCCCACCCTCCCCCCATGTCCCTGCACATCCTTGGCCGGGAGGGGAGCAGTGATCCAACAGTCCACGCAGGGGCCGTGCTGCAGCCCGGTGAGGGCTCGTGCCCAGCACTGTGCTTGAGCTCTGGCTGCGGCTTCTCTCCGGCTGTGACGCCACGGCAGGTGTTTGCAGGCCCTGGCAGCACTGAATATTCTGGCCTCCCGTGGCCACAGTTCCCCCCAGGGATGGTTGGAATGGCACAGTGCACCTAGACAGCCCTGGGCCCGGCATGTGACGGCCTCTGTGCCAAGTTCGTCTAGTGTCAGCTTTCCCCATTTGGACACACTCTGGCCCAAGGGTCCAGTCTTAGGTGTGGAGGCCACGTGGCAACCTGGGGAGAGCCAGGCTTTGTGCCAATACAAACAGTGACCCGCTCGAGGTGTCCTGGCCAGGTCCCCATTCCTCTGAGCCTCAGTTTCTTCAACCACAGAATGCGGGGGAGGGGGTGGGGCGGGGTAAATAAGGAAATCAAAGGGGTGTCTTGAGGAAACAGTGAGAAAGGATACCGGGGCTTCAAAAAGTTTGTAGAAACAAGGAATGACACGAGTTTGACGAGCATGACACAATTTTTCCACGAACTTTTTGATCCATGGGCTGTTGCCAATGGTTTGGCTAGATCAGTGGTTCTCAACCTGTGGGTCGTGACCCCTTTGGGAGTGGAACAATTCATCACAGTAGCAAAATGACAGTGATGAAGTAGCAACGAAAATCATGTTGTGGTTGGGGGGTCACCACAACATGAGGAACTGTATTAAAGGGTCATGGTATTAGGAAGGTTGAGAACCACTGGGCTATATGGTCAGAGACTTGGAAGGAATATAGTTGGACCCTTGAAAAAAGTTGTTTTCTCCTGTTTTTTACTACCTCATTCTCAAAAACAAAAATGTTAATTACCATAATGTAGATAAAGAAGCAGAAACTTTGACAAAATCACTGATGATACCAACAGCAGCAGAAAACAGGAACAGATTTGCATCCAGTACAAACCAAGCCACGTGATCTGAAGCGTCCTTGGATCTGAGTGTGCAGTAGGTGGCCCCGAGGCCCTGTCTGCCCTCTGCCTTCCCCACAGCCAAGAGGCGGGGGTCAGACACGCCTCCACGCTTCCTCCTTCTTTCCCTGCTCTGACGCCCACCGCTCCTCCCACAGCACCCGGCCTGGGTGCTGGGTTTGAGCGTCCGTCGCAGCGGACACACAGAACTCTCAGACAACACTCTCCATCATGGGGTTCATGATGGAAGTTCATAGGTTGGCACAGGTTGGGATCAGTAAACAGTAAGGATACAGTTCTTGGTCAACATCAACACCTCTCCTAAGACAACAGCAGCTTCTCCCTCATCTTCGGCCGCTCAGCCACGTGGGCCCTTGGCCTCTGCCTCCGTGGACCGGGACCTGCCGCTCCGTCTCACAGTCCCATGGTCTCTGCGCGGCTCTTATACACAGAGGAATGGCTTTGACTCGGGGGTGGTTTTTGTCTTTTAGCTGAGCATCTAAACCAAACTCCTCTGAGTCAGTTGATTCTGACTCAGAATGAGCCTACAGGACAGGGTAGAATTAACTACCCTTGCAGGTGACTGCCCCTGTGGCTTTCTGAGACAGTAAGTCTTTGGGGGAGCAGAAAAGTCTGTCTTTCTCCCAAGGAGCAGTTGGTGGTGGTTTCGAACTGCTGACCTTTTGGTTGGCAGCCTAGTGCACAACCAGTACACCACCAGAGCTCCTTCGTTAGCTGGCCATACCCAAAGGAAAAGGAAGAATGTGTCTTAAGGCACACCCTTTAGTCCAGTGTAAAGATGTCCCCAAGGACACAAAGAGTGTGACTGGGTTTACATCCTCTACTAATGCCAGGGTTTAACCCCGTCTTAATCCTGTCCACTAGTATAGCAGAGAATTCCGTCCAAATTGGAGTTATAGCCACAACGTAGAGGCTGGAATTCTAATCCATCACATTAGGAATTCTGACTAGAAGGGCCAGACTAACAGACCACCCCTCAGGGTAGCAATGACAGGCAATGATGGCCGCAGTGTATTAGAGGGCTCAGAAAGCAAACTAGAGTTTTGTATTACAGGTATATTGATGGATGTAAGTTAAGCTTATAAAAAGTGTTTTTGTTATAACTAACTACAGGGATATTTTTACTTAAAAATAATACATTTTTGCTGAAACTGCACAAGGTCCTTTTAGACAGTCATTTGGTGTCACCCCCTCTGACAGGGCCACCTGGTGTGGTCTGTGCCACAAATTATCACGGACAATTTGTACCAGCTGTGGAAAGCTCCCTCATGCCCACCTCTCCCTATTGTCTCTCCCAGCTCCAGTGGCCTCACCGGCCTGAGGCTCTGGGCCCAGGAGATCCTGGGTCTGAGAATCTATCTGATTGGCTGATCCTTCTCCTCCTTCTGCAGAATTGGACTCCTTTGGCAGGCTAAGGAGCTCCGGTGTCACTGTCCCCCCAGAGCTGGACTGCGACTGCGAAGCTGGGGGTTCAAACCCACCCGTCACCCTGTGGGAGAAAGAGGAGGATGTCTGTTCCCAGAACACCTTACAGTCTTTTTAATTCTATTGTTTTAAATACACACACACACACACACACATATAAAGTTTTTACAATTTTCTTGTTAAAGCAATCTCCTTTTCCCCAGAAAAGAAAAGAAAGAAACGGATTTACGATCATGAAAACTCCGTGAAGGATTGCTATTAATTGCCATCAACTCCATGGTAGTGGGTCTGGGTCTTGCTATTCTGAAGGGTCCACTGCTCTGGGCCACATCTGCCTGTCCTCAGATACCTGTCCTGGCCGGCCTGGCCGCTTTCTCCTACATTCCACCTCTCTCCCTCTCAATACCGCCTCTGCGTGTTTAAACCCACAAGCACTGCCCCTATGAGAACAAAGCTCTGCTCCTGTTGTTCCTACTCTCCTCCAGCCTCCTTGGAAGGTGGACAACCATTGAGGGGTGCACATCAAGGTGAAGGTCATTGCTACCACCAAACGGTGCGCATGAGAGATGCTGTGCTATACAGATCCGAACTGCAACAGCCAAGAACGGCTCCTTACCTTGCCTTACTCGTGATGCCCAGTGAATCCCACGATGGCAAAGATTTTCTTTTAAATGCGAATTTTAGTTTTGAGCCTTTTTGTGATGTTTTAATATACTAATGCACATCAACAGAATGCCATAGAATTTGGTTTATACAATTAAGGTCTCGGTTAATTATTACACAGTAATCAGGGGGAATGCAAGCGGTATTTTTTTTTCATTCAAACAATTACATGGTAATTGAGTTCTCTCACCCCAAAAAAGGAAAACCATGGATCAGTGATGTTCCACAGTACTTGGGATACACCGCCAGGGCCCTAGGGGTACAAATGGTGTAGATTCACTTTTGATTCAATGAAATGACAGCATGGGTGAATACTAATTTTAAAACATCTGTTTATATTATTATTATTTGATTTTTCTTATAGTGCTTATTTTATCCTTTAACACCTAGAGTTCCAAAATTTATGTGATGAGTTTATTTTACAATTAAACACATTAAAAAGATGTATGCAATCATCACCACTATCAATTGTAGAACATTTTCTTCTTTCCTGTACTCGTTGTGATTAGCTCTCCCTTCCCCCACCCCCCATCCTCCACCTCCCCGCCATCACCTCAAGAAACCAGTAATCCAGTACTGCCGGGATTTCATGTCAAGAAAAACATACAAAAACAAAACCTGCCACACCCAACGGACGGAAAGCCTCAGTTGAAAAGATAACAGAAAATAATAAAAACTAGGACAAACTGACACTGGGTGCAGAGGGGGCACAAATGATAGCATGTTAAATTGTAATGGAGTTTGTGGTGGTTGACTCGTAGTAACCCTACGAAACACGCCGGGTCCTGTGCCAGCCTCACAATTACTCTTGTGCCAGCCCTAATCGCATCTGCAGGGGTCCACTAGCCAATGCGCTCTGTCTTACAGCAAGCTATTCACATCCGGGGTCAATCCTTTTTGCTTTCTGTTTTCCAAGTTCAATCTAGTCATTTATCTCCCTTCCACAATGCATCTGTTCAGCCTGATGGACACCTCGTGGATAATGAGAGCTAGAACTATTTGAAGCAGCAGGCCCTTCCGTGAGTGGACTAGTGCCTGTCCTCCCTGTAGGCAAACTTCCTTGAGATTCCACTAAGGGGTCACAGCCAGAAGCTGCTTTCTGACCTGCACCCCAACTGAGACCTGGGGCTACTGGCATGGTAAGAACAGCTGGGAGGCATCTGCAGCATGGTCTGCCCCTTCCCAGCTCCTGGTGACACCGGCTGACAGACCGGCTGGCAGCTGGAGTTGGGGCTAAAGTCCACTGCAGCCTCCAAGCCACACTGCACCTTGACCCTTGGACACCATTAGCGAACTCTTTATTATTGGTCTCACACCTTAACACCTTCACAGTATGATGGTTACGCTTGTGTGTGTGTTAAATGGACGTATCATAAAACTTGCCATTGTAACCATTTTTGAGGGTAATATCTAGTAGTTCTGTCTTGCCTGGCACAAGTGCCCTGTGACCGGCACTCCCCTGGCACGGTCCTGTATTGGGGGCGGCTGGCAGGACATTTCTGGAGTGACACCCCAGACCGCAGGCTCCTTGTTGGGGCTGAGTCTTACATTTGGGGTGGACAATTGGACCGCGATTTGAATGGGTGGATTTCCTGTTGGTCCTTGTGGCCCTTTGCGCCCTGACTGACCAGGCCGGGGTCCTTCCCAACCGTGAAAAGGAAAACTAGGGGCCACGTGTTTGCTGTTCTCTGCCCTGGAGGAGGCTGACACTTGGCTTCCCGGGGCCTTCTGGGACCGGCCAGGACCCTGGGTGCGGACTGAACCCTGGGTGGGGGCAGCCCGGCCTCGCAGA